GGTCATTATCCAGCACACTCAATCTCCTCACCTGCCAAATAACGTTGCTTTATGTAAATATTTGCTGAACATGTGAACATAAACATCAACGTAAAGTGGATTAGTATGATAATGACAAACGGGCCTCCTCAGCTGAAATACGCTGTCAGCACTAGGCTACGTGAGTGTGTGGCTTTATGGCGGTGATTATATAGTGTAAGTGATAATGGGGTAAGTTGTGCCGCTCCCCTGTCCCTTATTCTAGGCTCAATGTACATAATATGATTTGTGCCTTTGATTGTGGGGGAAAAAAAAAAAAAAAATATATATATATATATATATGTTGCCAAAAAAATTAAGCATGCATAAATCTTTTCTTTTAATTAAAATATACAATATCTTTATAATATCAATATCATTAAAAATATATGAAGTACTATAGTGCAAATGTTATCACAAATAGATGTAAATTGATGTTTTTAGGCATAGAGCATGCATGCTGCTTCTGTAATTTGTTTCTTTTATTAAATTTGGCAATTCTTATACTGTCAATACCATAGTACAGTGTATATTGAATAATCGTTTCCTCATGGTTAAACATAAAATGCCTTTAATAAATTGGGCTAAAATGATATAATATAAAATAATATAAAAGTATATGAAGTACAATAGTGCAAATGTTATCACAAATCTTTTTTTCACAAAAAAATATATGTTTTGTGCATGCATTTTATGGAGTACCATGATATTAAAAAACATAAGAGGCATATCTATTTTTTTTATTTGCATTTAATATTTATGTAATTACACTTCAGTTGTCTTAATTTTCTTTAGATGCTGCTTCTGTAATTTGTTTCGTTTATTAAATTTGTCAATTCTTATCATGTCAATAACATAGTACAGTGTAAAATGTATCAATCATTATCTTTAGAAGCTATTTTTCTTCTATCTGACACTTAAAGCTGACTTTTATTAATGGGTGCATTCATATGAAATCATATTTTTTGAATAAAACTTTTAATTGAGATGTTTTTGCATGTCAGTGCTTTTTCGAAAGGAGAAATCAACACGTGCAAGTACAGAAGAAACATTTGTTTTACATGAAGTGCTGAATAGTAGTAATGCGCATAGGTTTATTGATATGAGACGCAAGGTACGGCTGTTTCTCCTCCTCTTCTAACATGGCCAATCATTTTATATCGCCATGTAGGGGTTACACAGGTCGCTGTGGCCCATCTCGTCTCTTTTAAACTAATTTCTTTCATGCATATTCATGCACACTGCACATCTGTGTGTTTTTGGGGTCAGTCGGCGGAAGATGGCGGTCTGGATGCTGCTGGAGCTGCTCTCTCCGCGGCGGAGGATCCTTTATAAGCACACACACTGAACTCAAACACAACACAAGTCTCATCTGGATTAATATTCACTGCTTTTTCCGCTCGGGTATGGACTGTTGGAGTGTTTTAGCAGGGTACAAGCACCTCAGACGCTTCTGTGGGAGACTTTGCAGGGAGTTTGATGTTATTATTATTCTGCTAGCCGTGCGGAGCAGCTAGCGGCTTTCTCCTCCGCTTTAAAGCCTTCAAATTGTATAAAAATGTCGGATACGAAGGTAAAAGTGGCGGTTCGAGTCCGACCAATGAACAGGAGAGGTAAGAGACGATTTAAAATAAAAACAAGCATTAATATTTGTTTTTTGCTGGTCATAAGTTGCTGTAGCTCAGGTATGGTTGTTGCATATTCACTTGACGTGTTACATTTTAATGCATTTCAGACATTTTGATTCAACTTTTAGTCGAGTTTTAACAACTTTTGGCTTGCAGAGATTGAGCTCAGCACAAAATGCGTGGTTGAGATGGAGGAAAACCAGACTATTCTTCACCCTCCGCCCTCCAATGCAAAAGGAGAAAGCAGGTACAGTCATATAATCACTGCATGTTTGAGTATTAAATGTGCTTTTTTTATTAAAGTGACATGTTTGAGCCGTGTTTCTCCTCGTTGTAGGTGAAAGCTGTCAGTCTGAACTCTCTCACAAATTGCCTGCATGTGTTTTTGCTGAGATTTGATATCAGGGCAGAAGCGTCACATTGCTGCACAGAGGAGTTCGATGGCCCTCGGCGGTCAAATGCATGCTCACAGAAACTCTGCTTGGGTTTGTGTTCATGCAAGAGTAGCCCAAGTGAGAGCGGGGCCCGTTCTGGGCATGCTCTCAATGGCCTGCGCTGCTGTGAAATTCCTGGACGGGCCTCATGTTTGCAGCACTGCTGAAGTTCGAGATACCGTACAGTAGATAACATTATGCCATTGTATGCTCTTATGCAATTTGTGCTTGAGCAAAATGAGTTTTTCAGTGACTCATGCTGATATGGATACGTAGAGAACAGGGATGCCAGAAAAAAATATGATATTATATTAGAAATATTCAGCAGTTTGGAGTGTACAAGTGAACGACACTGATAACTAGAGAGTGCAGAGACATATATTTGCTGACTAGTGGAGCAGCTCAAACATGGACATTTAATTATGCATCTGTGACCCTGGAGCACAAAAGCAGTCTTAAGTCGCTGGGGTATATTTGTAGCAATAGCCAACAATACATTGTATGGGTCAAAATTATACATTTTTCTTTTATGCCAAAAATCATTAGGATATTAAGTAAAGATCATGTTCCGTGAAGATATTTTGAAAATTTCCTACTGTAAATATATTAAAACGTAATTTTTGATTAGTAATATGCATTGCTGAGAACTTCATTTGGACAACTTTAAAGATGATTTTCTCAATATTTAGATTTTTTTGCACCCTCAGATTCCAGATTTTCAAATAGTTGTATCTCAGCAAATACTGTCCTGTCCTAACAAACCATACATCAATGGAAAGCTATTTATTCAGCTTTCAGATGATGCATAAATCTCAATTTCTAAAAATTGACCCTTATGACTGGTTTTGTGGTCCAGGGTCACATATTTGAATGAATGCACGTCTAAAGCCAGGAATACTTGGACTAACACTTTCATTGCATGGAAAAATACAACACCTCTATTTATGATACATGGAAAAAAGAAAATCATAGAAAGTTTGGAGCAACATGAGCGAATGATGACATATTTCTTTTTTCATTCTTGTCTTTTTTTTTTATTTTTTTACCATGGTTTACAGAAGACACTCACTAAAATCTCATTCAGTGTAAATAGTTATACAACAAAAAATATAATAAAAATATAACATATAGCAAAAAATCTTGTCAGGCGTATATTAAACCAAGAATCATTAGATGACATTAAAAGACTATTTAAGGATTACAGTGCAGCTGCCAAATGCTAATTAATTGTCATTTTAAATCGTTACCAATTTTTGCCACTATCATTTATACTAATAGGTTTTACCCATTTGTCAGTAAGAAGTTTAATTGTTTAAATTATAATACAATTTATTATGATCACTTTTTTTCTTTTATGTATTTGAATAAGTACTGGTCAGAATAAGTATGTTTAATTTTTACATGCTGAATGACGATGGAACATTATTTGACACACATTTTGACATTTTATTTTCACAAAAATTATTTGAAAGAGTAGACACTTTACTTGAGTTTAATATGCTTCCTGCATATATAAAATAACTTTTGTAAATTTAATTTGATGCGGTTACCAAAACCACACACATATATATATATATATATAAAAAAATATATATATATGTGTTGTCTTTGACCCATATATATATATATATATATATATATATACACATATATATGCATATGCAATGCCATAATATGTCTATCTACTGTACAACTGCATATATACAATATTTACAGTATATATATATATATATATATATATGTATTAAGCATAATATTAAGCTGTTGTTAACGTTTAGAGCTGATAGAAACGAGAGCAGTGCTTCTGTTAATTGGCAAATCAGTCATGATTATCGGCTGATGCTATTTAGGCCTATTCATTTTCGTGTTCTGTCACTAATTCAAATTAAATCAGGGACAAATGCGCTTATATGATTTGTGATAGCAGAACAAGGCAGGTGGTTAAGGCTTTATGTCCTCAGAATAACTAACATGAATCAAAACAGTATAAGTCTGTACAGTATAAATATAACCAGCCAGTACGGTCCACTTTTCTCTTCCACCGCTGCAAGTGATTTTTTCATTTGACTTAGTGCAACTTTAACATTGTCGGCACAAGTCATTTGCTTTGTTTTGTGTCTGATGGTTTAATGCTAAATAGCACAAGTAGTTTAAGCAGTGATGAGAATATGATCTTAAGGTTTGTGAACTGAAGTATGCATGAAATGTTTCACTGGTGTGATACTTCATGTTAATTTAACACCTACAGACATGTGACATACTAAAGCCATGTTGAATGTTGGTTATTACAGTTTCAGGTTCACATGGAATCTGAGCTTAATTGGATTGCTTATAATTCATTAATTTCTACAAATCTCCACCCTTAGATTGGCTGTTTATTAAGTATTTAAGCTACCATATGAATGCAGTACTCTCAGCTTCGTAAATCACACGTTACTGTGTTTGAATCAGTTGTTTTAGTTCAAATCAGCATGGAAAAAAAGAGCAGGTTCCATCTGAGCCTGGCTATTGCATCTTATAGACTACTTTTAGTCATACTTCAAATTGACTAACAGCTTGCATCAGCGCAAACCCCTCTTTTGGCATTAAAAAAATTGACTCAGGATATACTGAAGACACGCAGTGAGACATTAGCAATGAAAAGGCATGGACACAGTTAATTTTAGAGGCTGATCTTTGCATATGCATTTGTAGAAGTTTCACTTTCACATGCAACTAATTTACTAAGGTTTGCTTAGGTGATACTTCGATGAGTATCATCGACCCTGCTCTAATTTGGCTGCTGGTGGATTGTGTTGGTCGTTATGGAAATGATCTAATTTGTGCATTCTCAGTAGAACTTTCCACTCCCATCTGCGCTTTTATATGATTGCGATCTGATGCTAATTTGTCCCGTTTAGTAAATCTGGCCCTTAGTTGCATAAACTATAATGCAGCACCATTTTTTTTTTGCATTGCTCATTTAGTCAAGTTGAGTGTCGTAGTTTGCATTTCCTACAGTAAGTGATTTGCTGTTGCATTGACCCAAGGGCTTTGGATCACAAGCTATTGGATCTCATGATCTCCTGAACTGGGTTTAATTCACATTGCCTCAAGGTGAGACGGTCTGCAAGAATGATGGTTTAATGCAGTCTAGCATGCGTCACGTTTGCATGGTCAGGCAGGTGAAAGAACAGGTAAGCATCATCTCGTCTTACACTCGGGATGTGAAATGGAAAACAATCAGGGCCTTGATGAAGCTGTAAATAGCAGCCGGAGGAAACACTTATGTTCAATTCCACGCAGTTTGAGGAATTACGAATTTGGAAAGCTAGACAAGTCTGTTACTCCTGAGACGAAAAATATGTATATTCAGGCTTTAGTTAGCCAAAAAAGAACATTTTGTCATCATCCGCTCATGCTGCTTCTGACTTTCTTTCTTCCATGGATCATAAATAGAGGTGTTTCCATGCAATGAAAGTCCTGGCCTTATTCATGCAACGATTAACTCAAATGTAGGTAATTAAAAGTCCATGTTTGAGCTGCTCCAGTCCATTAGTCGGCACATTTCAACTTGTAGTCAAGCATTAGTTGCACTGCTGCTATTAACTCTTTTATAGCACATATTTAGTACTATCTGATATGCATTTACCCGGAACTACACAAGTCAATGCAATTATGCAAATTCCCCACACTGACATTTTGAGTTTTACAAAACATGGGTTGCAGATCTGTTCTGATGGGTCATGAACAGCAGGGCGCAAACAATGATAAATGCAAACAATACAATTTAACTGACTAAATCTTGCATATTTGGGATAACAACACTTAAAAGGAAGGAAAAAACATGTCAGTTCCCTTTCAGTCGGTCACTCCTCTCGGAGCCGCGGGCCAAGCTCCGTTTCCTCAAGGGGTGGAGTTCTGTTGCCTCTGCCTTGATCTAGTTCTCCTCTTGGCGGCAGCCAGGGGGGGCTACTTCAGGCAGTAGCGCGGGCGGTCTGAGGCACGCCGCAGCCAGTTGAGCTGCTAATGGAACGTGCTGGGCCCTCTACAAGGAGCGTACCAGCCGTATCCTTTGGCGCTCCTCCCAACGACCAGATTTCGATTGCTGCATCGGAGGGTGACCCAGAGCTTTCTGGAGAGGAAGATTCGGCTGCGCTGCTCTCCTCCGGGACCGTAGCAATGCCTGAATCGGATCCAGAAATAATGGCTATGCTTTCCCGGGCCGCCGTAGGGGTAGGGCTCGAGTGAAGAGTTCCACCGTGCCCCGAGCCCTCAAGGTTGCACGATTGGTTCTCGGGGTGGTCCGCGCTGGTTCTCAGCGCCCCGCCTCGGTGCCTTTCTTCCCGGAGGTGCATGAGGAGCTCAACAGGTCGTGGACGGCACCTTTTA